ATTTGTCTCTAGAGCAGTACTTTTAGTTTTGACCAGGCTCCATAGAAATGAATATATATGTACATGCACACACATAATAAAACATGTGCATATCAATAAATAGTTTAGCTCTTCATGATAGGCCTACAGAGCAGTGCCTGGGAATCTCTGGTCTGAAACGCTGATTGTAAATTAAAGTTTACCATTTCTACCCAGTCTGTAGAGACAGCCCAGAATGCACCCTCCAGTGTGGGAGGAAGGGGGACAAAGGCGGAGAGTGTGAGAATTTTCTCACAATGCTCAGCGCTGTCACCAGGCCTTCTGGAGCTGGGCTTGCAGCTCAGGCCTGGACTGCATGCGGGAGAAAGAAGATTATTCAGAGAGTAAGAGATGGAGAGAAAGAGTCATCAGAGGGCCAGCCTACCATTTGGAAGCAGGCCCTGGAACAGAAAGGGCACAGATCACACCTATACACACAGGGATAGTTACCTTCTTTGAAAGCTCCAGTACTAAGACCATCGTCCAAACAGTACCCAGGAATTCACAGTAATCATTCCATAGGAGTGGAGGAAACCTGGGGGAGGGGCTGGAAAGAGCATCACTCCCTCCAATGTGGCTGCACTCCCAAAAAGGTATTGGGAAATCAATTTAGTAAAAAAAAGAAAAGAAAAGAAATAAATTAAGAAAAAAAAAAATAGAAAAGATACATGGGCATGTTTCAGAGAAAGAATTAAGTTCTATTTCATAAAATTGTTCAGTTATTTTATGTAAATACTAAAGGCACAATGCACGAAATTCATGCAAGAGTAGGCCTTCCTTCCCCCGGCTGCCAGCACCTGCTGCCTCTGGCACCTGGGACCTGGGCTTCCCTCACAGCCCTGGCTTTGTCCAGAGGTCATCTGGAAGGACATCCAGAAGGATGTCTGTTCTAATTAGCATATTATGCTTTTATTATTATAGATTATTATAGGTATACACACATTTTATTACACACACACACATGCGCGCGCGCGCACACACACACACACACACACACACTAGGTGTACTGATTAATAATAGCAGATTTTGGCCGAGGCCAGTTTGGCTCAGTGGATAGAGCATCGGCCTGCGGACTGAGAGGTCCTGGGTTTGATTCCAGTCAAGGGAATGTACGTTGGTTGTGGGCACATCCCCAGAGAGGGGTGTGCAGGAGGCAGCTGGCCGATGTTCCTCTCTCATCGATGTTTCTAGCTCTCTATCCCTCTCCCTTCCTCTCTGTAAAAAATCAATAAAATATATTAAAAAAATAATAGATTTTGTAATAAAAAACATGATAATTTTAGGAGAAACATCAAAAGTGCTTTATTCAAGGTAATGTCCATCACTGAGCTTCCTATTTCCCCATCTTTTAGGTAACTTATAGGTACTGTCACAATAAAACTTTTCTTGTTTTGAGGCAAACCATTCAGAGACCCAATTTTTTACTTCTTTGTATATTTTGAAGTGCTGTTCAGAAAGTGCATGTGCCATCATCAAGGAACAAGTGGTAATCTGAAGGAGCAAGGTTTGGGGGAATACAGTGGTTGGGTTAATACTTCCCAGGCAAGATCTTTTAATGTGTCCTTAACTGGTTTTGAAGTGTGTGAAGCAAAAATTACTTTGCCATGTCTTCTGACCCAATCTGGTCATTTCACAATCAAAGTGTGGTTCGAATTGATTATTTGTTGTCAATAGTGATCAGTATTAATGGTTTCACCTGGTTTTAGAAGCTCATAATACACCACACCTTTCTAATCCCACCAAACACAGAGCATTGTCTTCTTTCTGAAGTGATTTGGTCTTGCAGTCGATGTTGATGGTTGACCTGGATCAACCCATGATATTGTGCATTTGGGAGTCTCAAAATAAACCCACTTTTCATCACCAGTCACAATTCAATGCAAAAAAGATTTTCTTTTGTGCCATTGAAGCAACATTTTACTGATGACTTTTCAGTTTTTTTTCAGTCTTTTGTTCAGTTGATGTGGCACCCATTTTTCTTCCTTTAAAATCTTTCCCGTTCTTTGTAAATTATTGGAAATTGTTTGCTGAGCAACATTTAATCTTTCTGCAAGTTGTTTTTGAGTTTGATATGCATTTCATCCAATAATGTTTGTAATGGTTGGTTTTCAAACCTTTTCAGTTGATCTGGATGTTCTTTGTCTTTCATAATAATCACGTTTAAGCATTTAAACCAGCGTTCACAAGTATCTTGAGATGGAGCATGTTCACTATAAGCTTCCTGAAGTATACGATAACTTTCAGCAGCACTTTTATTTAAAATAAAGTAAGAATTAAAACTTCCTACAAATGCTCTTTTTTTTGGCACAAAATTCGACATTTTTAAGAGTAAAAATATCTATGATGCTAACACTTTCAGAAAATTTGACATACAAAGTTTTGAAGCTTGCTGTCAATACAACAAAATAGAATACATATCAAGTCACATATATATCAACATATGTGTTTTTTCAGCATTTATTGAAAAAAAATCTGCATTGTTAACTGGTACAACTAGTACACACACACACACACACACACACACACACATACACATTTTATTATAGGACACAGAGCAGGTAGGTTTTGGGACACAGATCTGGAGGAATGAGGTTGGAGCATAGGCTGCTGCTCAAAGGAAGTTAAAGCAATAGATTTAGGAGGAGTTTTGCAAGTAGGGTTGGGGGCATGAGAGGGCTGCTCTCCTTAGTGGGGAGGTAAATACGAAAGTGGTATGTGCCCCACCGCTCCTTCTCCTGCTTCCCTGGAAAGCCCCAGACAAGGTCTGTGCTGACATGGGGCCATGTCTCTGGAAGTCAGTACCCTGCCCCTCATGTTTTTCTCTTGTCTTGTAAGTCAGAGAGCTAGGTGTGGGGCAGTGCTGTCAGGGATGACAGAGTTTGTATGACATTTAAAGTGCACCAAGCACCTGGCCAGCATGGCTCAGTGGTTGAGTGTCGACCTATGAACCAGGAGTTCATGGCTCGATTACCAGTCAGGGTACATGCCAGGGTTGGGGGCCCGATTCCTAGTATGGGGCATGTGGAGGCAACCAATAAAAGATTCTCTCTCATTGATATTTCTATCTTTCTCTCCCTCTTCCTTCCCCTTTGAGATTAATAAAAATATATTTTTAAAAAAGTTCATCCAGAAAGCAAGATGAAGGCTGGAAAGGAGAACTCTACTCTGTGTTTAGTGCTGCCAATAAAAGGCACTCATTCTAAGGATGGGTTATTGAGTTTGGCAATCACAGTTTTTTGTCTTTTCCTGTGGAGATGTGAAAGAAATGCTGAGAGGCCACAGGAAGTGATTCTTCACATCCAGTAAAACTTATAAAAACGTACCATGGTAAAAAACTCACACAACAACTTAACCATTTTTAAGTGTGTAAGTTCAGTGGCATTAGGTGCATTCACATTTTGTGCAACAGATTTCTAGAACTTTTTCATCTATCAAAACTGAAACTCATACCCATTGAATCTCCACTCCCTGTTACCCCTTCTCCAAGGTCCTGGCAACCAACATCCTGCTTTTTGTTTCTATGAGTTTGACTCCTTTAAGACAATTTATAATTGTAATTGTAATTGTATTTGTCTTTTTTTGTGTGTGATTGGATTATTTTACCTAACAGAATATCCATGTTACAGGTTGTGATAGCACTTCCTAATTTTTACTGAACAATAATTCATGACCAATAAAACATTTGGAAATGATGGAAGTTTTGTGTCTATGCTGCCTGATATGGAAGCTATTTGTCACATGTGGCTACTGAAACACTTGAAATGTGGCTAGTGTGACTAAGAAATTGAATTTTTAATTTCACTTTATTATAATTAAAATTAAAATTTAGCTTGCCATACATGTCTGGTGGTTACCATATTGGACACAACAGTTCTAACTTACTGTGACTTTTTTCATTCACATGAATAAAGTCAGATATAAGTGATTAATTTTGTGACCCTGAATATATGCCAAGTTCTGTCTAAATTATTGTGTGATAACCATAAACTTGAGGACAGTTTGTTGCAAATTACATTAATTATAAAGAAGGAAATTGGCTGGATTGGTTCATGATTATTTTTTATGCTTAAACACTTAGATTCTATCCTTGTATAAATACATTATTAATCCTTGTATTAATGTATTAATACATTATTAATACATAATGTATTAATATAATCACTGTATTAATGATTCTAAGAGTCCTTGGTTATTTTAATGATTTTATTTGCTTGTTTATTTATTTATTTATTTATTTATTTATTTATTTATTTATTTATTTTTACTGAGATGAAAAGGAAACCTCAGGGAAATATAAAAGGCTGGATATTAAATACACCTGATTGTAAAGTTAAGCAAGTTATGATTTTAAAATAGTGTAACCTATATGAATGTCTACCTGCTATGCTGTATCCCTGAAGCTAATACAGAAAAGTATTGAATACGAACAATAGTCAAAAAATAAAATAAAAATTATTATAAATAATATTTATAGAAATCTTAGATTTATAAAGATGTAGCACACATAAATAGTAATTTTTATGGTTTTAGAATTATGAATTGAGTTTTATTCTTATTTTTCTTTATCCCTACTTTCTATTTTTCTTTTTTTACACTGAGTATTACTTTGCAATAAACAACAAAACTATTTTTTTGATGTAAGGGGAAAAATACAAGTTGACCCAGAAAAATAAAACAAAACCGTGTTTAGTCAAATTTGATCTCCTAGAAGAAAGCTCTCAGGGGACTTTCTAGTAAGATTGTAAAGACAGAAATTTACTACTTTTCATTGGAAAACACAGTATCTCAGGCTGGGTCTATGAAGTGGAAAAATTATCAAATACTTAGGGCTTTTAATAGATTCAGTGAGGCCCTACTATTGTGTGCATTAAATTTTTTAGTTGGAATTACTTGTTTTTTGTGCCTCAGCCTTGCCTGTACACCTTATCTAGTCACAGACTGTGACCCAGCTGTTTATGTCCAGACCAGGGACCTGCTGATGATGAGAGTCCTAGTCTTATGGCTCATCTCCCTCTTCCCCATCACTGAGGGCAGTGAAGGCTTCTTTGGGGTGAGTCGGATTATGCCCTGTTTTTCCTCCTTACCATCTCCCCTCTTTCCTCTGGCACTCCTAGAATCCATCCCTCTCTAGGTAACTGAACCCACGAAATGTGATAGATTTGGAATCCGAAGTTCTGGGTTCTTATCTCAACATTACCAACATTAGCTGTGTGGCCTTGGAGCTTAGACGACTCAACTGCAAAGTGAGAATCTTGGACTAAACCATTGGAAATCTCTTTCAGCTCAACTCATCCACTCCTGTGGCCTCTTTAAGAGAGAATAAGCTTAGAGGTTAGCATTAGCTAACCTTGGACTATCTCATTCCTGTCTATACATACTTTCTTGATGCTTTTATCTAGGGTCACAGTTTTAATATTCTCTATACTTTGGTGACTCCCAAATTTATATTTCCATCTCAGACCTCTCCCTTGAACTCCACATTCATATACATATTACCTACTTGATATCTCCAGTTGGGAGCCCAAGAGGCCCCTCAACTTAATATGTCTGCTATTAAACTTGTGACTTTTTTTTTCTCACCAAACTTATTCCTCATTTTCTATCTCAGCAAGTGGTATCCCCATCTCTCCAGCTGCTTAGGCACAAAATTTATTTTTATGCTTGATTCTTCTCATAATCCGTATATAAACCATTGGCACTTTTTTGTTTGTTTTGGTTCTATCCTTAAAACATATCCAGAATTTAAACACTTCTACCACCTCCATGGCTACTATGTCAATCCACACTTTATCTCTCACTGGTATGATTTCAGTAACTCCTGGAATGCTCTCCTTGCTTCTGTGCTTGAATATTCCCAATATGACTGCAAGACTGAGCCTTCTGGAAAATAAAGTAGAGCATTTCTTTTCTCTGTTCAGAACTCTCCAGTGGGTTCCAATCTCACTGAAGTAAAAGCTAAGCTCTTGCCATAGCCTATAAAAATCTACACAACCTGCCTCCCTAGAGATGCTCTCTGACCTCATTTTTCTGCCCTCTTCCCTACTCCCCCTCCCTTTAGCTTCTCTGGCCTCCTAGCTCTGTCTTCACATGCTGGGCATGTTCCTAACCAGGGCCTTTACATGTGCTGTTCCCTCTTCCTGGAAAATTCTTTCTCCAGGGATCTTCAGTTCCCTATGCCTTTCAGGTTTGTGCTAAAAACCTGCCTCAGTGAAATATTTTCTTGCCATCTCCCCATTGTCCCTGAATTGGATTTTAGGTGCAGAATTTCAGTTTATTAGGGAAATCCAACAAGGCCTAATGAAGTACAATGTTACAAAGCCCTGCCATAATTCTTCTTTTTTCCATTTTTAACAGAGAAATGATGGCATCAAGACAAAAAGAGAACTCACAGTGAATAAGAAAAAGCACCCAGGTGAGACATTGCTGCCAAGAGAATGGGGTTCTAACCCTAATAGTGTTTCTGACTGGTTGTATGATCATTGGCACATTATTAAACATCCCAAATCTATAAAATGAAAATAACAGTAATCCCTTCTGGCAAAGCATTTGTGAGGATTAAACAATATAACAGAAGCATAGTATCCTGCACCATACCTGGTAAGTTGTTCCATATTCTTCCTTTCCTTCCTTGTCTTGATCCCAAAAATGCAATTCATGGGCACAGCCCTCAGTCTGTGGCCTGAAATTTAACTTGTGAGTCTGATATTTTAAGCACTCAGTGTGTTTCTTCATGGAAACTGATGCACCCAGAAGGTTGTTAAGTTCCTGGGTCAGTTCACAAGCCTTTCTTTGGTAAATTTGCCAAACAATAACATGCCAAACAATACAGTGCTATAGAACTTACCGCCACGTGAAGCTGAGATTCTCCAGAAAAATGAAATAAAAATTTACATTGGACTACCATGGATACATTTTACCTGGCAATAATAATGCAGTAGTCCTTATAAACTTGTAACTATGTACCAGGCATCATTTTAAATGCATTAGGTGAATTCATTCCTCACACTGACCTTCTGAGTTAGGTGTAATGATCATTTTTATTTGGTGAAATTAAAATATAGTGCTAAGGAGCAGGGGGCATGATTCAGACCCAGTCAATCTGGCTCTAGATTGACATTTAATGTTTCCTTAGATTCAGGTGTACAGCACAGTAGTTGAATGAATTACATAGTGATCCCCTGGCCTATGTCATTCAATCTGGCCCCAGAACCAGTGCAATGAGCCCCTGACAATGTGACCAAGGTCAATTGCTCTCTCATTCTATACTTCTACCTGCTTGGGCTAGGGGAATAGAATCTTTTTTTAAAAAAAAATATATTTTATTGATTTTTTTACAGAGAGAAAGGGAGAGAGATAAAGAGCTAGAAATGTCGATGAGAGAGAAACATCGATCAGCTGCCTCTTGCACACCCTCCACCGGGGATGTGCCCGCAACCTTGACCGGAATCGAACCTGGAACCTTTCAGTTCGCAGACCGACGCTCTACCACTGAGCCAAACTGGTTTCGGTGGGAATAGAATCTGATTAGCTCCCCCTATGTGAGGTGATTCCCAAGGTCTGGGCTGAGGTTTCTGTCTGCAAGGAGATGGGGGCAGTAAATGATGGAGCTGAGGCTTTATGGTGTGAGATGTGGGAGTTACAGCAGACGAAGATCTCTTGTAAATGTCCTGGTACATGCCTTAGTCTCAGCCCCCGCTAGCTTCCTATTGCCCTCTTGATTGCTTGAGAAGCTTGAATTGAGTCAACTTCTTTTCTTCACTGTAAATCTCCTTTCTGCCTACCCCATAAGAAATGGGACAGTCTCATAAAAGCTCCTCATGTCATCTATCCCCGGTGTCCTGAGAAACAAGAAATTTTACTGCCAATGGCAATAAAGTGAGACCAGGATAAAAGGATGTTCACCTTTTGCCTCTTTTTCTAAGGTCCTCCATATCCTTAATCTTGGGTCCATAGAGAATCTTGAAATACCATGGTATTTCGTGCTAATTTCATGTGACTGTACCTAAGAAGTGCGAGAAGACTCATAGGAGTCTTCTCACAGCCAAAAGCACTTACCAGCCTCTCCTTATGGAAACAAAAGGTGCTGCTCAGAAATGATAAGGTATGATAATGAGTGTAATAAGTCAAACAGAGAAAGGCAAATACCATGTGATTTTCCTTTTTTTGTAGAATCTGAAAGACAAAATGAATGAACAAACAAAATAGAAACAGAGTCAAAGATACAGAGAACAAACTGATGGTTGCCTGATAGGAAGGAGGTTGAATGGCTAGGTGAAAAAGATGAAGGGATTAAGAAGTACAAATTGGTAGTTACAAAATAGTCTGGGATGTAAAGTACAGAACAGAAAATATAGTCAATTTAATAACTATATATGGTGTCATCTGCATGCAAGACTTACTGGGGAGGGGTCATTATGTAAGTTATACAGAAGTCTAATTACTATGCTGCACAACTGCAACTAATATAATATTAAATGCCAACTCTAATTGAAAACTTTTTTTAAATGAGAAAAAAAACCTAAAAAATGATAAGGTACAAATGAGGATATGTAAGTGCTCAAGTAAAGTTTGGTTTGTTTTTGAATTTGACTTAAATACATTTTTATAGGAGAAGGAAGGGCTCTTTGGAGGAGAAAGTGTGAGATTGGTGTTTTATACAGAAGATACTTCAAAGAGACCAGTGCTGGGGAAGGTGAAGAGAAGAGTGGCTAGGATTTCCTCACCTCATCCCCCTTTCATCTTGATGCCTTGTCTCTGGATGTGTCTGGAGGAAGTGCGTCCAGTCAGGAGGACAGTGCAGGCATGGGAGAGAGAGCACGGGAGCAGCTGGCTTGGTAGAAGTGAGAGGGTAGACATTGTCAGGCACATGTGTGCCTGCCCTGGATGCTCATGTATAGTCAGTGTCTGGGTGGGCAGAAGCCAATGACAAACAGTGTGGCATCATCCAGGACCTTCAGGCTGAATCTGCTGTTAGTCCCTTGGTCACTGCTTCTGCAGCATGTGACTGAGAAAGGAGGGGTCTGATGGTCTTCCTGTCTTTACACCCAGCGCAGGAATATGAGCTGTTGCTTCAGGTGCCCTATAGAGATTCCAAGGAGAAAAGAGACTTGAAGAAATTGCCGAAACTTCTGAAGCATCCATTATTATGGCTCCATGGGCCAATGAAGATCATCAGAGCGAAGGCAACCACATGTAAGCCAGCTCTCTGGGGACAGAGATTGGAAGTGGGGAGGTAGGTGAATCAGTTGGGATAGGTTAGGTTATGCTATGGAAACGATTATCCCTGTAGCATCTTGGTTTACAAGAATAAGTGTCATTGCTTCTTCATACTACATGTCCATTGCAGGTTGCAAAGGGGTTGAGACTGTGGTGGCCACTTGGGGACCTAGGCCAATGGTTGGAAAACTGTGGTTCACGAGCCACCTGCAGTTCTTTGGCCCCTTGAGTATGACTCTTCCACAAAATACTACCTGCGGCACGCACATATAGTAAGATTGAAACTTCATGGCCCATGCGCAGAAGTTGGTTTTCGGCTCTCAAAAGAAATTTCAGTCATTGAACTGTTGATATTTGGTTCTGTTGACTAATGAGTTTGCCGACCACTGACCTAACCTAAGCTGATGAATCAGACACTATCTCAAAACACCCATTCTGAGAAAAAAAAAAAAAAAAAGGAGCACTAAAGGGTTTGACATTGCAGTTGAATTTTCTAACTCAGGAAAATGACACCATTAGTCCTGTTCATCACTCAACCTCAGGGGCCAGGTTATGCAATCATGGAAGTCAGCAAGCAATATCTAGCAAACAGCATTAATGAACACAATGTGGGTCTCAGAGAAGTTAAATGCTTTGTCAAAAGCAAGAGTTCTCAAAGTGTGCTGCCCTGTCCGGCAGTAGCAGCAGCACCAGGGCTCCATCTTTCTGTCTTTTGATGAGAAATACTTGCTTCAGATTCTAAGTCTGAGCCGAGGATCAGAATTCAGCAGCAGTGGATTCATGAACCAGGCCCTGTGAAACCAAGCTCTGTTTTTGTGTGTGCAGACTGTGGCCACCAGAATGGGGGCCTCCAGTGTACCTGTGAAGATGGCTATACCTGGTTTCCTCCTGCATGCCTTGATCCCCAAAAATGCTACCTTCACATGGTTGGACCACTCCAGACTTGTGACTGTCATCTCAAGAACCTCACCGGGAGTGTCAATTTCTGTGAGAGAACAAGTAAGTTCATAAGGGTACCAGGAAGAAGCCCTTGGCAGGGGTCTCTCCCACCTCCCCATGTGATAGAGAGGGAACTCTATATAGCTCTTTGCCCACGTGTTTCTCTGTGTCCCCAAGCAGAGCTAGTGTTCACAGGGAGATTGAAGGACACTGAGGACACCCAGTTTGGCTGGACAGAGGGAGAGCTGCTTTGGTGCAGAAAATTCAGGAATGCAAGTTGGTATTTGGGCACCACTTCAACCTTGCTCCAGCTCAGCTCTGCAAATATAAGCTTCTTTGGAGATTTAACAAGATTCACTGAAATCCCAAGTCGGGGAACTGCTTGAGTAAATACAATTTTTCTCCCTCCCTTCTTTTCACCTTTTTCGCCAACATCAATTTTCAAAAAAGAGAAGTCTAGAGGCATGAGAGCAAGGAGGAATGCATAGTGATTTTACTGAAAGTAATTCTTGAAATTGCCAATGCATAAGTGTACTGAATGCAATACTAAAACAAAACAAAACTTAGCTTTGGAAACCAGTGGCAGCTGAGGGAGCTCCTGTTGGCTTCGGTGTATGCTCAGTGGATAACGAGGTGAGCTAAATGATGTGGGCTCCGGGGCTTGAAAGACTTTCAGAAGTTTTCCCAAAGTTTAGTCCAGTTCTCCTGAAGCTCTTCCTTTTGGTAGAGCTGAGTAAAGAGTGAGAGAGAACATAAAATAGTTTCCTTGGTATCTCTGGCTCCCTTTCCCAGGACTGCAGCAATTCAGGTTAAGGCGACATGTATTTATTAAGCACCATCTTTAGGCCCAGATCGGGGGCAAATTCTGGCAAGTCACAATGAAGCATTTCTATTGTGATCATTGACTTGCAGGCTACATGAGGAGGCCAGGATATTGATGCAAGAAAGACCATGTCATTTCTTCAGTATTGTTGATGAAAACCTACATTTTGGTCCATGTCTGATCCATCATCAGATAGGAATCACACTTAAGGAGGTTCCCAGAGTAGAGTGGAGGCACACATACATGAAACATGTTCACAAATATATGTGCAGGTGCAAGAAGTATTAGGAGCTATGGATAAAGTCCTACAGGAATCTAGAGGAGGGAAAGATTCTGTATCTGGGGAGTAGTGAATGCCTTGGAGAGAAGATGCTTTGACTAGGCCCTGAACAAAGGATAAACAAGATATGTCCAGACAGAGATGGGAAACAAGCAGTCCCAGGGCAAAAAAGCAAGGGAAGAAAAAGGTAAGCAAGGGGTATGTTGGGATTAGCAAATAGTGACTTAGAAAAAAATTTAATAGAGCACTCTTTAAGCTAAATGGAAATATATTTCTATGTGAAGTGACTGCCTATTTATTTATCATTATTATTTTCTTAAAATATATTTTTATAGATTTCAGATAGAAAGGGAAAGGGAGAGAGAGAGAGAAACATTAATGATGAGAGAGAATCATTGACAGCTGCCTCCTGTATACATACCCTCTGCCCCCCACTGGGGATAGAGCCCACAACCCAGGAATGTGCCCTGACTGGGAATCAAACCATGATTTCCTGGTTCATAGTTTGACACTCAATCACTGAGCCATGCCAGCTGGGCTATTATTATTATTTTAATCATCACCCCAATAACCCAAGGACATGGTAAGAGAGGAGGGGAGGAGGAGGAGGAGGAGGAGGAAGAAGAAGAAGAAGAAGAAGAAGAAGAAGAAGAAGAAGAAGAAGAAGAAGAAGAAGAAGAAGAAGAAGAAGAAGAAGAGGAAGAAGGAGAAGAAGAAAGAGAGAGAGAGAGAGAGAGAGAGAGAGAGAGAGAGAGAGAGAGAGAGAGAGAGAGAGAGAGAGAGAGAGAAACATTGGTTAGTTGCCTTCGTATGCTCTCTGACTAGAGATCAAACCCGCAACTCAGATATGTGCCCTGACCAAGAATTTAACCAGCAACTTTTTGGTGCACAGGAGGACATTCAACCAACTGACCTACTCAGGCTGGACTGACTGCCTTTTAAATCACATATGAGTGGTCACACGTTTTCCTACTTATAAGGTGGCCTGGATTATCAGTACTTTCCTCATAATGTTCCAAATCCACAACTGAAAATTCTGGTTGTATGCTTCCTATATTAGATCTGTGGTCAGCAAACTGTGGCTTGCGATCCACATGCTACTCTTTGGCCCCTTGAGTGTGGCTCTTCCACAAAATACCACGGCCAGAGTGAGTCTATTTTGAAGAAGTGGCACTAGAAGAAGTTTAAGTTTAAAAAATTTGGTTCTCACAAAAAAGTTTAATCGTTGTACTATTGATATTTGGCTCTGTTGACTAATGAGTTTGCTGACCACTGCTTTAGGTGAACATTCATCATAAAAATACATTGAAAGATTAATGATGAAAAAATGGGCTCCATGTTGTATTTCTGTAATTCTATGTTCTAATAAAGTCAAGTGAATAATTTTTATATCTATGTTTTTCTGTTTCTCATAGAAGTTTGGGGCACTTTCAAAATTAATGAAAGATTTACAAAAGACCTTCTGAATTCATCTTCTGCTCTATACTCCAAATATACCACTGAAATCGAAATTCAAGTACGTATTTACTACTTATGGTGTAAGAAATTGTTGGCTAAACATAAATTCAAATGTTTCCAGTTCATTGTGTATGCAGACTGTGGCCACCAGAATGGTTTAATACCTATTCTTAATCACTCATTTTCAATAGATTATCACATAGTAGTTAATCACTGCCCAGAGCTGACGTACTTTGAACATTTTCTTTCTAGGAGAGTTTAGCAATTGAATACTTTTCACATCTTTTGTGCTCAGTTTTGTTCATTTACTTGGGTAATATTATGCCAAAGCTTCTTGGTTATTTTCTATTTTTCTATCTGTCAAAAGAAATTTTTTCATGATCTAAGCTCAATTGTCAGCCTCTGGGATTTATTCCATAAAGAAGCCTTTCTTGTTAGAGGCTAGACAGAGTTACTGAGCAAAAATTCTGAACTTTATAACGAAGTCACATACAACTAGATCAGTGTGCCTCTGCTAGGATGAGGTGCGGGTGTGGGTTTCACTGAAGACATGCACAAATCCTTGGCTCAGTTTAAGCATCTATAAAAATGGCTCATTTGGGGGAAGACTAAAATAGATTTTGGTTGAATTTATATTATCTGACTTCCAATTCATCCTTGAGTCTAAGCAATTGATTCTTCATTATTTATGAGCAATCTCAAGAATAAATTATGTGCATGTGTATACATTTTCAATTGTCATTTTAACCATAATTTTATAACATGTAACTACCTTCTGCTGTATCTTTTTCCTTTGCTCAGTGTTTCTGTTAGTTTATTTGGGGTCTGCATCCATGTTTTGCTCAAATGCTTTCCTTGTGTGGGGACAAAAATTAACATATCTACCTTTGTTTGTGCATTTTTTTTGTAAGCTTAAAGAAGCATACAAAAGAATTCAAGGTTTTGAGTCAGTTCGTGTCACTCAATTTCGGTAAGTACCACAATGCCCAAATCAAGGCCCTCCCTAGATTTATGCATCAGTCCTGAAGAATGCCTAGTGCTGTTTGCCAATTGTCTTTGACAGGATATAGGTCAGACCTTCTCATTATAGTCTGATTCTTACCAAAACTGAACAAAAGTCTGAAGGGGAAAGCCTATATTCTTATGTAAGTGTGCTTAGGAACGTAAATATTAAATGGTATTCTCAAAGCTATGGAGCAGAGAATAGAATTGGAAACCTCAATTTAGAATTTAGAAGGAAGCAGAAGATCTTGTGTATGTGTATGGGAAGGAGTGAGGGGTAGGGATGAGGGTTGTAGAGGGATGGATTTTCTTCTATAACCACAACAGGGTATGGTGTATTATTGGGAGCCAGAAGGGAGCCTTGGGTAAAATCGTATATTTTTTGTGTAGATATCATGCATACACCATAGCTCAAAACCCCATAGTCATTGTCTACAGCAAATAAAGAGATATTTAGTAAACCATTCTTTTGTTTATATTTTAAGGCCAAAGTTATTTGGTTAGTTAGCCATGTGTGCATTGATTATCAGATATTTGTAGTCTACTTAATGGAGGAAGTGGCTGAGAGGTCAAAACCTTGACTTCTTATATAATTTTTTCATAGTTAACTTGAACAACAGCTAGAGGAAATTTTCATTTGCTATAAATATATTGCACTGGGCATTATCCTTTAGTTACTTATGACTTTAAAATGTCTTTATAATCCAATGCCACCATTTTTTAATTAAACCCATGTTTATATAATTAATCATTTTCTATTTGACTTTGCTGTCATTAAACTCATAAAACTGAAACCTGATCATAACAATTTTTATATTCAATATTCATATTTTTATTTTCTGTTGTCCTGGTTTTCCATTTATATTTCTAACACATATTCCATCATATATATCTTATAAGCTGTCTCCAGTAATTTGTAGACAAAAATCACAGTTAAGATAGGTAAAAGTCTATAAAATACAATGATTTTTTCCCCCTTTACTATATGAGTTAATTTCTCACTGTCTCCATTTAATTATTTGTTGAACAGGATTGTAATATTTGTGGAAACTTATTTAACCCAATCAAATCAAATGAAATAATAGGCATAAAAATACTTTGTAAAGAATTAAAAGAGCCATATCAATGCAAGGATATTATGCTCAACCTTACATAAAAGGGTATTTGGATTTATTTATACATTGTGAGTGGTAATTCAATGTATTTGAGCTTTAGCATGTCAGAGATTTTAATACATTAATTAATAAATAAATAATTACCTGATTCAAAATTTCCTTGGGACTCAGCTCCCTTAGTTACAAAATGACGATAATATAGTGTTCACCTCATATAATTATTGCAGAATTAACTTAATTAGTACACGAATCTCACTTGTTTTTTGTAATTTTAAATACACTCTATAAGCTGATGGTTTTTAAGTGTCTTGAGATTTGGCCTCTCTCCTAAATGTCTGACCTAAATATCCAATTACCTATTACCATCTCCACTTGATTTTCTAGTAGGCATGTCAAACAGAATATGTTGAAAACAGGAGTCCTCCAACTCTGCTCCTCATAACCTTAAAACCACTTCTTCCATCTCAATTACAGCGATGCCATTTTCCCAGTTGGACAGACCCAAACCCTGGAGTCATCCTTTAACTTTTTATTGAGGTATAACTTACATTCAGTAATATGCTCTGACTTTAAATATACAGATTAACAAACTCTGATAAATGGTGGAGTGGATGAGGGTATGGGGAGGATAAATGGTAATAGGAAAAAATAAACTAAAAATGATTTGTCACTGTAAAATAGAAAAGAAAATAAACTCTGACAAATGCTTGTACAAGCTACCACCCATCAACACAAAATATTTCTAATACCCTCAAAGTTCCCTTGTGCCTCCTTACAACTAAGCTCCATGCCCACCTTTACCAGCATCAGAAATAACCACTGTTCTTATTTCAGTCAGCGTAGGCTAGTTTTGCCTATTCTAGAACTGCACATAAATGGAATCACTCAGTGTGTAATATTTGTGTGTCTCACTTCTTTTGCTCAGCATAATATCTTTGATATCTGTCCTTGTTTATTTTGAGTATCAGTGCTTCCTTTCCTTTTATTGCCCAGTAATCCTCCATTGTATGCATATACTACAATTGGTCCATTCCTTGCCATCATGCTTGACTGATTTCTTTCTCCACTACCTGAAATCTGCTCCATTAGCAATTCCTATGGCTCAGTTTTCAAGTACAACATGAATCTGTCCACTTCTCCCACATGCTGCTACCCAACTAGTTCTTGCTATCATCTCCTCTTTCCTAATCAGCCTTTCTGATTCCCTCCATTCAGTCTATTTTCTACAGCAGCCAGAGTGACCCACAGGTTGAGAACTGCTAGCAAGGTTGCCTAAGATCATTGGAAAACACAGATATTTACATTACGATTCATAACAGTAGCAAAATTACAGTTATGAAGTAGCAATGAAAATAATTTTATGGTTTGGGGTCACCAAAATATGAGGAACTGTATTGAAAGGTCACAGCATTAGAAAGAGAACTACTGCTTTAAGCATTGAAAAACACTCCCAATTGTTGACCTGAAACCTAGTCTTTAATTTGTCACACTCATAGAAATTTTCCTGTCTCAGACCCTTGACATGTGCTGGCATACCATACCAGTGGTCTTTGCATCACTGGCCTTTCCTTCTCATTCACAGACCTTAGCTTCAAAAACCCTCCACATAGAGAAAGCTTTCCTGACCAATCTTATTAAAGTAGGCCTCATATCTATCTGCTATTCTTATCACTGTACCTATCTCACATAACACTCAACAAAAAACAATATACACTGAGTGGCCAGATTATTATGATCTCTGAATGCATAATAATTTGGCCACTCAGTATATATCCTATATAATAAAAGGTTAATATGCAAATTGTCCCCTCAACCAGGAGTTCAACCAGCAGGCAGGCCAGCCAACTGCCCATGTCCTCCCCTCCCCCTGGACAGGCTGTCAGGACCCCATCCATGCATGAATTCACACACACACACACGCACACACGCACGCACGCACGCACGCACGCACACATATACACACACTGAGTGGCCAGATTATTATGCACTCAGAGTTCAAAATAATCTGGTCACTCAGTATATATAACATAAATTAAATAAATGCTTATCTAGAGAGATTATTTGTCTTGTCTTCTTTGCCAGAATGTAAGCTCCATGAAAGCAGGGACCAAATCTGTTTGATTTATTCCCATGGATCCAATGCTAAGCCCTGACTGACTGAATAAATTAATCTCAATTTTCCTTCCACATAATCATTAAAGAAGTAGAAGCATCATTGCTGGGTATGAAGTTGTTGGCTCCAGCAATACATCTGAGTTGCTGTCAGCCATGGAACAGATGACTGAGAAGGCCAAGGGAGGCCTTCAGAAGCTATTTCCACTGGAAGATGACTCTTGGAGAGTGTTTGGAAAAGGTAACACTAAATTCCCACCCTCTGCCTGGGTGAATCCTTTAATTGTTTGCTCATTTGTGTCTGTAAGAGGTATATTGAAGAGGTTTCTGATACAGAATTATTCTAAGACTGACTTCCAGTAGAAACAGGCAACTGTTTATGATGAAACAAAATTTCAGTCTGACTAGTTTAGATCCTTGCTGATTGGCGATCTGATCTCCACTGTAAATGCCATGGAAGACTGATTTCACCGCAGATCTGATGGAATGACTCAGCAATAGTTTACTGGTATTCATGTTGAAATATCTCTGGCATTGGTAATTCCTGAGTAATAATTCAAGAAACCAAGGAAAGAATGAATATATATAGGTCTTTAAACATTCACACAGACATACACACAAATGAACACACACACACACACACACACACACACACACACTACTTCTTTCCTTCAAATATTTTTTCCCTGTTTACTTCTTTACATCCAATCTTAAATCTCTGCTATCAAAATGTGTTCAACTTTCAGCAACACTTATCCAATAAATATCTACTAAGTGTTTAAAGTGTCTAGGCACTTAGGACACAGCAATGGGGAAAACAAACCAAAAACACAGCTCTTCTTGATCATCCATTCAAGGTCTCCTTTTCCCAGTCCCAATCATGTGAAGACTGTATTATTAAGATCAGCTGCAAGAATAACTACTGTCTAGTCACAATGTGAGAAGCTTTTCCAGGGTGCAAAGTATGTCACCCCAAAATGGCAACTGCCCATCTTTTAACCATATTGTTACTCCTTTGTTCCATAGCATTTTGAAGATTTTTCTGTTTTTCTAGCACTCACTTAAAGAGTAAAAATATTAAAGAGTAAAAATATTTCCTGGGAATGGTCATACCCTGTCTCATTTTTACCTAACACATATTAGTTGATAGCCCACTAAAAGTAAGATCGTTGGCAAAGGTCAGACACCTGGAGGGAGAAGGGCCAGACTCAGAGAGGGTAGGGCATAGAAAAGGAGAAAAGGCAGCTGATAGGGCTGAAACTGGGCATCAAAGACAAGCTTCTCCTACTCCTGAATGTTTCTGGGTATTGTCTCTAAGAATATGACTTCTAATGCACAGCTATATGGTGCATAGAGAGTGCCAAGATATTCAGAGACATTTTCCCTCTCTGTTTCCATTCTCTTCTAGTTCAGTGTAATAGCATTGCCTTTGGATTTGGATTTAAGAACGATGAGTATACGCTTCTCTGTAGCAGTGGCTACACTGGGTACATCACAGCCAAGTGCCAGCCCTCTGGATGGCAGGTCATCAGGGAGACATGCGTGCTTTCTCAGCTAGAAGAACTGAAGAAGGTAAAACATTTCCACCTTGTAGACTTGCCCTGGTTTTAAGTTTCACAGTGGGCACCTACCACTGAGCATGGCTAGGGGGAGGGTAAAATATATCAAATTGTCTCATTTGTCAATATGCAGAACATGAGGGTGACATCAGACCCTGGTAAATCCAAGGCGTTTGGGCATGAGTAGAAGTCTAGGTGGCAGCTGAGAAGGCCAGAAAGGGTCAGAGTTGATGGTTTTGATGTGGAGGGGTGCTGCAATAGAGTGAATAAATGCTGAGGGGTCTGCAATAAATGGCAGAACAGCAATTAAGCTGGACTCAGAAATCCAGAAAGTCTGGGAATCAAAGACCCAAGTGAAGGTGTGAGTCCAAAATTATAGACTTAGTACAAGTGAGAATGTCAGAAATCAGGGCAGGATTGGGATTGGCCAAAGATAAGCCATATAGAGCAATAGAACTGCAATAGATACTAAGAGTCATCTGGTTTATCAAACACCTTTTATAGATTAGGAAATGAAAGACTAAGGGACTAACAGTTGGTCCCTCTGGTAGCAATAGTGTTGAATTCGAAATATAGACCTTTGATTCCCAGTCCAGGACTGTGACCTTCACATAATGCTGTCTTTGGAAAGTTCAAGTACTTAAGACAAGGCAGATAAATAGAAGCTAATGATGAGGAATTAGAAGTCAAGTCACAGGAAAGAGGGACTCCAAGATTAGTACACAGATGCTATTCTGCAGATAGATCTCCACAGTGAGCAGAATTTCTGTCCTAGCCCGAGATTCTGCTAGTGCAGTAGGGAAACTCAGAAAGGCATTATCTTAAAGGACTCTGGAATGTTCACTTCTCCCTCTTTGGGGAGGGAGATTGGATCAGATGGCCTCTGGGGAATCTATCCTTGCTGTTGCCTTCTTTGCCTCAGATATGGACATGGGCCATGTCTATATGAGGGTGTGAGGATGAGGGCTGGCAGAGCACAGGAACCTTGGGCAGAGAACAGCACTGTCAGCCAAAAAGAGCTAAAAGGAAACCATATAGGATCTGAATTCCTTGAATGTCTTGTTCTGACTAAAAGGGAATATTCCTTCTTGGCTGCCTTCCAAGCTAGCCCAGAGTAGTGGAAGCATCTGGAAGTTTTAAGGAAGAAGTAAAATTCCAAATGCAGTGGCTAAGTGTGGTCAAATTTCCCTACATGTCCCTCTGTCTTCCCATCCTAAAAGGATGTCTCAGTATAGTACTGTGATTCTAATAGGATTTAGTGCTGCTTCCTAGCGGGTACAGTTTGGAAAGTTACTGAATCTCACTGAACACCAGTGTCTGTATAATTAGGATAATAATTCATCTGAAAATGCATTTTAATAAATTTCTTCAAGTTTCTATGTTCTTAATGGTACCTAGCTCAAAGGGTGGTATAAGAATTAAATCAATGAATCCCTGGTAAAGCATTTAGCACAGAGTAACAACTCTGAAATACAAAAAGCACTGAGTGAAAGCCATCATGTTATCAGTTATATAATATCCTACATTATAATGCACCATACACGTTAGTGATGTAGCCTAGAATTCTGATTTAAATTTGATGAAACACAAGCATGTTTTTTGTTGTTGTTTGTTTTTGTAGAACTTAACCATTTTCATTTCTAGAATTTCAGTGTGATTGCAAGCAATGCCACTGAGGCAGCCATGTCATCCTTGGTGCGAAATCTTTCAGTCCTCATTCAGCAAAACCCATCAACCACAGCTGGGAATCTGGCTTCCGTGGTGTCAATTCTGGGCAATGTCTCATCTCTGTCACTGGCAAGCCATTTCAGTGTGTCCAATTCAACAATGGAGGTATGGTCTGCCTGTGCTTGAAGGGCCACTTTATTGATGATTATTATTTAAAAAATTATTTTATTCAATTACAGTTGATATTCAATATTATATTATTCTCAGGTATACAGCATAGTGGTTTGGCATTTATATAACTTACAAAGTAACCCCCAATAACCATACATTGTTATTAAAATATGAGGCCCAATGCACAAAAATTTAGGCAAGAGTAGGCCTTCCTTTCCCTGGCTGCCAACCCTGGCTTCCCTCCAGCCCTGGCTTCGTCAGGGAAGACATCCAGAAAGACGTTTGGGAGATGTCTGGTCTAATTAGCATATTACCCTTTTATTATTATAGATTACTTACTACATTCCCTATAATATACTTTTCATTCCTGTGACTATTTTGTAACTGCCAACTGTACTTCTTGATCCTTTCACATTTTTCACCTGGCCCCTATCCCCCTCCCATCTAGCAGTCATCAGTTTGTTCTCTGTATCTCTGAGTTTGCTTCTATTTTGTTTGTTCATTTGTTTTGTTTTTTAGATTCTACTATAAGTGAAGTCATATGGTATTTGTCTTTCTCTGTTGACTTATTTCACTTAGCATAGTACCATCTAGGCCCTTCCATGTTGTTGCAAATGGTAAGATTTCATTCTTTTTATAGTCAATTAATATTCAATTTTATCTCTACCACATCTTCTGTATCCAATCGTCTATCAATGGACACTTAGGTTGCTTTCATATCTTTTTAATTATTATTTATTTTTAAAAAACCCTCACTCAAGTATATTTTTCCATTGAGTTTTAGGGAGAATGGAGAGGAGGGAGAAGAGGGAGAGAGAAAGAGGGAGACAGAGAGAGAAACATCAATGTGAGAGAGATACATTGATTGTTTGCCTCCCGCAGGCACCTAGACTTAGGCCAGGGATAGAACCTGTGACCCTTCCGTCCATGTACCAATACTCGAACCACTAAACAACTCTGGACAGGCTGCTTCCATATCTTGACTATTGTAAATAATGCTGCAGTGATCACAGAGATGCATATATCTTTTAAATGAGTGTTTTGGATTTCTTCAGATATATATCCATAAGTGGGATTGCTGAGTCATATGGTAGTTCTGTTGTTAACTTTTTGAAGAAACTCCATACTGTTTTCCACAATGGTTGCACCAATTTGCAACCCCACCAACAATGCATGAGGATTTTGAAGGGTCCACTTTAAAACTACTTCATAAGGAGGAATAACAAAAGTCTGAGTTGGAGGGGTACTGTTGAAAAGACGGAAGAGGCATGTAAGAGCCTTTGTGTGATTTTTACTGCTTCCTCTACCATGTGCAAAGATCTCATGGGATCAACTGTGTGAGTTCAAAGTAACAGGGAGCATCCTCTAGGCAGGTTGTTTGGGCAGCACGTGGCTTAGAGGAGAAGAGCTTCTGTACCAGATGCCACTGTGTTGACACAGGTGCCAACTCTTCGATACCTGCTTGCAGTCTGCAGTCATTCTTTCTTGTGAGCAGAAACTCTGGCTTTAGTCATTTATAGTTTAAGAACTTCCTCTTTTTTTTGACTGGGAAGTCCATGCATACTTTGGTTTGGATTTTTAAAAATTAACTTAAGCCCTAGCCGGTTTGACTCAGTGGAGAGAGCATCGGCCTATGGATTAAAGAGTTTGATTCTGGTCAAGGGCACATGCCTGGGTTGTGGGCTCTATCCCCAGTGTGGGGCGTGCAGGAGGCAGCCAATCAATGATTCTCTGTCATCCCTGATGTTTCTCTCTCTCTCTTTCTCTCTTCCTCGCTGTAATCAATAAAAATATATTCTAAAAAAATAAATAAAAATTAACTTAAAGTTACATAAGTAAGACTTGGTCATTAAAAAAAGTTCAAATAAGCAAAAGTCTAAAAAAAAATCTGTAATCTGGTCACACTAGAATAGAAACAGCTTATATTTTAGGTATCCTGTCAGTGCCTAGAGGAATGACAAGAGACATGTAGCAGGTACTCAATAAATATTTATTAAATAAATATCCTTGGATGTATGCATTTTAAGTTAAGTATGTAATATTTTTCAGCATTGAATTATATAATGTATAATGTTACATAATCACACAACTATACTTAACCTCATATAAGGTGACCATTGTGTCAGAAATGACACTAACTATGAATAAATTAAATTCCCTGAATCAAAGAAAAGATGCTCAGAATTCTATAGTTTGGCCATGTATTATTTGCAAGAGACAAACTAAAACCAAATGATATAAAAAAGGATAAAAATTAATTAAAGGGGAAAATAGAGCAGGCAAACAAAGACAGAGGATCCTGGAGGCAGCAGAAGAAACGAGCTATGGGCTTTTGGGCCAGAAGCCACAGAGGGCTCGGTTAGGGTAAACACTGGCCCAGAGTGATAGACACTGGGAATGAGAGTCCTAAGAAAGACAAGAGGCTGACAAGGGACAAAGTGGCCATTGTCAAGCACTGGTTTGGAAAAGGTATACCTCAAACTAAGACCATTAAAACCGATGGCAATTCAATACTTCCTGTGCTTGCCTCCAGTTTTTAAGGATTTTTTACTTTATATTTCTCTCTTCTATTAAACAAAAATAATTAATACACATGAATTAAAACTTGAACATCCATGACATGAATTTAGAACTGATATTAGCAAAACAAGCATAGCGTGGGAAGCAGTTAACAGTCACGTCACACTCTGAGCTGAGGAGTAATGCAGTCATGTTTGCCAACTCAGGGGAAGAAAGAGCACACCTCTGCAGCCCAATTGCAGGATTCGTTCTCATCCATGCCGAAACCTTGGCATGCCCATGAGTGGTTTGGGGCAATCACCCTGCAGCTGACATGATCCTGTTGACCCATGTTTTTTTAACCCAAACCTTCCACTTGCAGAACAAATGAGCTGAATTTCACTGATGAGTTTTAATGGGATCATCAGCTGAGCCAATTCTCCAGGGCAATTTTCCTATATTTAGTACTAATGACTATCCACTCTTAGGCCCATTTATTCAAAATACAAACTGACTCGCTTCCTTGCATTTCAGGATGTCATCAGTATAGCTGACCACATCCTTAATTCAACATCAGTAACCAACTGGACAGTATTACTGCAGGAAGAAAAGCATGCCAGTTCCCAGTTACTAGAGACATTGGAAAACATCAGCATTCTGGTACCTCCGACAGCTCTGCCTCTGAACTTTTCTCGGGAATTCATTAACTGGAAAGGGATTCCAGTGTCTGAAAACCAACACAAGACAGGTTACAACTATCAACCTGAAATGTTCTCGCCAAATACTTCCATTCCCATCAGAGGCCGTGTGTTAATTGGGTCAGACCAATTCCAGGGGACCCTTCCAGAAACTATTATCAGCATGGCCTCATTGACCTTGGGGACCATTCTACCCATAACCCAAACTGGAAATGCTCAGGTCAATGGGCCCGTGATATCCACGGTTATCCAAAACTATTCCATAAATGAAGTCTTCCTGGTTTTTTCCAAGATAGAGTCAAACCTGAGTCAGCCTCATTGTGTGTTTTGGGATTTTAGTCATTTGCAGTGGAATGAAGCAGGCTGTCACCTACTGAATGAAACTCTAGACACAGTGATGTGCCGGTGTACTCACCTGACCTCATTCTCCATGCTGATGTCACCTTTTGTCCCTCCTGCCGTCATTCCGGTTGTGAAGTGGATCACCTTTGTGGGGCTGGGAGTCTCCATTGGAAGTCTCATCTTATGCCTGATCATCGAGGCTCTGTATTGGAAGCAGGTCAAGAAAAACCAAACATCGCACACACGTCATATTTGCATGGTCAACATATCCCTATGCCTCCTGATTGCCGATGTTTGGTTTATTGTTGCTGCCACTTTGGATGCCACGGTCAACCCTTCTGGGGTCTGCATAGCTGCAGTGTTCTTTACACACTTTTTCTACCTCTCCTTGTTCTTTTGGATGCTCCTGCTCGGCCTCCTGCTGGCTTATCGGATCGTCCTCGTGTTCCATCACCTGGCCATGCCTTCAATGCTGGCTGTAGGGTTCTGCCTCGGCTATGGGTGTCCTCTCATTATATCTGTCATCACCATTGCAGTCACACAACCTAGCCATGGCTACGAAAGGAAAGACATGTGTTGGCTGAACTGGTCCGGTGGAAGCAAACCCCTCTTGGCCCTCGCTGTCCCCGTGCTGACTATCGTAGCTGTGAATCTCGTGGTGGTATTCTTAGTTCTCACGAAGCTCTGGAGGCCCGCAGTTGGAGAGAGGCTGAGTCAGGACAACAAGGCCACGATCGTCCGCATGGGGAAGAGCATCCTCATCCTGACGCCTCTGCTGGGGCTCACCTGGGGCTTTGGCCTAGGAGTAATGGTGGACAGCCAGAATCTGGCCTGGCATGTTATTTTTGCACTGCTCAATGCCTTCCAGGTGAGAAAAACTGCCATCAGGTAACTGGGGTATTTGTAGAGAACTGAGTTTGGCGGGACAACTCTTAAAGCTATCTTATCTCCCTGCCTCTAGCAGAACTGTAACCAAGACTGCCTGGCAACAGTGAATAAAATATAAGTTCCATTTCCCCAACAGTTATTCTCCTACTGAGGCAGAATATTAAACTTCTTCAGGAGCCCATTCCAGCGCTTTAAATCTGCGAGGTTTCATGAGCTAACGTTAATCTCTCTTACTGCCGACTCAGTCCTCTTTCCCTAGGGCGACCTCACACAGGGAGAGGGAACTAAATCAAGAGCCCTTGTGGACTCTGAACGGTGCAAAAGTAGTCCCTCGAGTGAGGCAGAGCAGAAGCTGGCAAACTGCAGCTAGTGCTGTTTTTGTAAATAAAGTTTTATTGGAACAGAGTCACACCTCTTTGTTTACATATGATCTGTGGCTGCTTTCCTTATGCCAGCAGAGTTCAGCAGTTATAACAGAGACTGTGTGACCTTTAAAACCTAAATATTTACTATCTGGCTCTTTGCAGAAAATGTTTGCCAACCCCTGCTGCAAAGAATGGATTTTACATACCCCAGTCAGAGAGTGTTTGGGGAGTAGGTGCAGAGTAATTCCTAGGTTTTGATGAATCTGGAAGAGAGTCTTAGATCCTGGTTCAATGATGGTTTGCTGGATCACCTCTGCACAATGACTCAGAACCTTAGTGATGCACTGCCTGCACTGAAGGTGCTCTGACTGGGAGAGAAACTGTCAAAGTTTAAGAAAGCCTCTGCCAAGGGTTCCCCAAGGGCTGGCCTTGATGGAAAGGATGCTGATAGAGGTCAACTCCATCCACTTGGCCTTAGAATTGGACCACAGTGCCTCTGCCATCAGAGATGCTCAGCAAATGTTCACTTAATGCCTGTCCTAAGGAAAGGCTAAGATACGGAATGCATTTGTTTTGGGTTTAGGATGACACAAAGGGGAAAATGAATCTTTGCATGCATTTAAAACATTTTTTTCACTCAATTTATTTATTTATACATCTGATTAAAAAATTTTGAGTACTTTGTGACATGCTAGGCATTGTGGAGGTCACAGGGTATCTTTGCCTTCGAGGAGCCCTCAGTGTAGTGGGCAGACAACTCTGATGTTGGGCGATAGGATAGAATATAGTATTCCATACGCTTTCTTTTCTGGAAAAAATAAAACGTGATTTTTTTTTAGGGTTTTTTCATCTTATGCTTTGGAATGCTCTTGGATAGTAAGGTATGTGCATTAATTTTTCTCTTTATCCCCTAACTGAGGCAGCTAACCTTTCCTCTGCAGTTCTGAGATCCTTATTCATATACCATAACAGAGACCAGATTACGGGTACTTTTGTAATACAATTCTGTAATTTTACAAAAGGTGGGCTCAGTCAGGCAGCAAAGGAACTAAACACTCACTGCTGATGATAAGCTATTGATATATGGAACTAATCACAACCTATAATGTGACATTATAGAAAGAAACAGAAAAGTCTTTTTACTTTAAATTTTTGTAACTTACATTATGGTTTGGCAATCATTAAAGAGCAAAAGTACTTTCCTTAGGGGGAAATTCCCTTTTATTCCTTTAATTTACCCATTTACTTAGAATATACTGAAAGACATATCTACTTCTAAATTTTCAGAGTTTTAAATAGTAAATAGCTTCTAAAATTAAATAACTTAGAAAGGATGGCCAATGTAAGTAAAAGATAATAGAAAAAAACTTAATAATCCCATTTTATTATTTTTCCCAGGCATTGAGCAATTATTTTGAGAACCATAAAGGCAATAAGCTAATAGATATAGGGTTTGTTTTGATAATAACTAAAGAATATTTTATAATTAGCACATGCACAAAACTGCTAATTACAAAAAAAGCAATTTGCTGTTCTTGATTGGCCTAAATAATTCTCATGTTTGTACAAATCACATGGTTAGCAAACTCTTCAACTTCAAAGGTAAATTTCAGTTTAGAAGTTATTTCCACTTACTAATGTCTAGAATATGAATTATTATGGCTTCTGCTTCTGTTGTTCTTTGTTTAATTCTAGATTTGCTGACAGATAGATAAAACAAATGAAGGAAGTAAAAGAAGATAAATCATTTCATGCTTATAGTCTGTTAGCTTCCAGGAAATGCTACTGCTAAACTACAGTTTCAGTCTGCAGTTTTGTTCTTGCTTTGCAGAAGATACTAGTATTTTGTGATGTTTATGTGCATATGTTGTATATGTGCATCTTAGTATTTCTCTGTTATCCTTATAGCTTCGACAATTGCTGTTCAACAAGTTGTCTCCTTTAAGCTCTTTGAAGCAACCATCAAAGGTAATTATCTCACACTGCCATGCATTCAAGGCACGAAGTGCCACTTTTCCATTTTCCTTTTTCTAAAGCCCCACAGAAAGACTGCTTTTGTGTAAACCCCTTGAGTTTCTGTCACCATTATATTCTGGTTATCTGTCATGGTGGCTAGCACATGGTCAATACTTATTATTATAGTTGAGTGAGAGAGGAAATGAATGAATGAATGAATGAATGAATGAATGAACGAACGAGAAGGCATGGAAAGCTTCAGGACATTCAAAGATCCAGGTCTGTGGATGTTATTGTGAACAAATACCTTTGAACAATGTCATTTGCTTTAGTCTGACTTGCCTCCCAACTGCGAGAGTCGGTAAGGCCCTTTTCTCTGCCTGTTCAGCTTTTCTATAAACCATTCCCCCCTCTCTAGGAAACTAAAGGGTGAAGTCTTGACTAACTTCTAATATATAAAATACAGTCTCTGAATTTTCTCTCTTAAGCTGGTATAACTGTCCCATGCAGTTCTGGCTTTTAACATTTGTATGGAAATAGATGATTCCTGTTTTATGGCTCGCCACTAAAGTGCCATTCACATAAGGAGAATATTCTGAGAAACAAAAGCACTTGCACCCATGTTTTGTATTTTTGCAGTTAATTTTGACTTTCATCTTTCAGAAAAATACTGAGGGCTTTCAGAAAAGTTTCTAAAGTAGAGATTTCTGCCGAAACCGGTTTGGCTCAACGGATAGAGCGTTGGCTTGGGGACTGAAAGGTCCTGGGTTCGATTCCGGTCAAGGGCATGTATCTTGGTTGCGGGCATATCCCCAGTAGGGGGTGTGCAAGAGGCAGCTGATCGATGACTCTCTCTCATCGATCTTTCTAACTCTCTATCTCTCTCCCTTCCTCTCTGTACAAAATCAATAAAATATATTAAAAAAATAAAGTAGAGATTTCTGTGTTTGATAAAAGTCTACTGACTTAAGTACATGAAAATCTATGTGGACGTTTAGAGATTTTTTACAAGGGATAAAATAACATTTGAAATAACAAACAGTGATTAGCTTCTGACATTAAACATTTTTTCTAAGTGTGCATTTCATAGTAGATGGAGAACATTGATAAAAATTAGGGATCAGGGACCTATGGGCTGGCAGACCTCCACTGTATCCCCCCCTCCCCACTTTTTAAAAATTATTATTTTTAAATTTAAAATAACTGGTTACTAATATTATATAGGTTTCAAGTGTACAATTCTATAATACATCGTCTTTGTATTGCATTGTATGCTCACCACCCAAGGGGATCAAATACATGGTGACAGAGGGAGACTAGACTTGGGATGGTGTTCCCTGTGCTTCTGTTACTGGAGGTACAATCTTAGGAAAGTTACTTAGTACTTTTGGTTTCTATTTTCTCAACTATTAAAACTAAGTTGGACTAGTTCCTCAAAGCTGAAGTGCTTTTGAGTCTATGTCTTAAAGAACTGAAATCCCTCGAGTCATACATGTGAAACTAATAAATAATTCACTGCTCTTAAGAAAAGGAGGGCCGAAACCGGTTTGGCTCAGTGGGTAGAGCGTCGGTCTGCGGACTGAAGAGTCCCGGGTTTGACTCCGGTCAAGAGCATGTACCTTGGTTGCGGGCACATCCCCAGTAGGGGTTGTGCAAGAGGCAGCTGATCGATGATTCTCTCTCATCGATGTTTCTAGCTCTCTATATCTCTCCCTTCCTCTCTGTAAAAAATCAATAAAATATATTTAAAAAAAAAGAAAGAAAAGAAAAGGAGGGAACTACAGCATATACAATTGCACTGAAGGAAAACCTTATCTTGATAAAGTGAGACAGGACACTCTTTACTCTGCAAAGCAAAGAGAGAAAAGATAACAAAACAAACAAAACAAAACAAAACAAAAACAAAAGCAGAGATGCCTGACAGTGTCCTTTCTGCCTGTTTCTAATGTAGTGTTGACACTTCTCAGAAGGCCACGGTGGCCAGTGAGGGGGCTTCGTTTACTGGATTGCACCCTATCTCTAATTGTGTTTTCTAACCAAGTGATAAAAATGGGAGTTTGTTTTTTGATTAGGTCACTTATTCGCTTTAAAACAAAAGTACATTGAGTAGAAGAGATGGGTATTTGTAATTTCCTGATGGAGTTTGAATGAACCCGCAGCAACTCTGATTACACTGGTTGAGGAATGATGAGAAGTAGAAGAGATTACACTAGGGATGAATCCTCCTCTCAAGATTCTCTCGTGGGAGAGAAAAGAGAGTGAGGGTGGCAGACACAGAATCATGAGGAGCAGGGAGAGCAGAGTTGCCAGGATGTGAACAAGTCCATATGTTGGGAGGAGAAAACAATGAGAGAGAAAGGATAATTGACAGAAGATTCCTGGGAAGTCAGGTTGAGTGGCTGGACTGCAGATGGAGGGACCAGGCTTTTCCCTGACACAGGAAGTTTCAGGCTGGTGCAGAGAGGACAACATGTACAAATTGGGGACATGATGTGGGACAATTTAGCCTGGGTTTTGTTTTGTTTTTAAGTAGGAGACAAGGCCATCCATTGAGCAATGAGCATAGGGTTGGTGAGTAGAGAATCCTGAAAGCAGTGAACATTAGAATAGTTGGCTGAAGGGAATGGAAGCAGAAACCAAGGATGTTCTCAGCAAATACCAGCCCTAAAGCCACCAGAACTCTGTGGGGAATCACAATGAGGTTTCTCTCACAATCTTCCCTCTGCTGAGGGCTCAGGGTCTCTTCTTGGACCTTCCATTGTCCAAGCCACATTCTACAACTCTGAGCCAAGAGCCAGACTCTAGTGACCTCTACAGGTATCCTCTCCACAAAGAAGGGGTTTATTTACCCCTATTTCCCATGACTCAGGTCCTACTTCCAAGCAACAGCACTCAATATGAGATGTTAAATTAATGACTAAATTAATTAACAGGCAGGTAAAGGACATAATGTGTCTTAATACTTTCACCTGTCCCAGTAAGTGCATGCTGCTTATTTTAAATATTTTATCTCAGTTTGAGAATTTAGTTTAAAAATTTTAATTCTATTTAGCCTCAGTGACAAAGGAGGCATTTTTCTCAAAGAGATTTGAACACTAAGAGGAGGCAGAATAAAACCAAGCTTTACTGGAGACCATTTTTTTTACTAGAGGTATTGTTTTTTCAGCATAGGTTTTTCGAGTGATAAATATGTGAACCATGAAATGTAAGCCTGGGCATGAAAAAGGATAATGTATCCTTTAGAGCTTTTTTTTTTGTTTTTTTTTTTGTTTGTTTGTTTGTTTGTTTGTTTTTAGAAATCCCAAGAATATACAGGAGCAAAAATTCACTTAGAAATATGTTTTAAGCATTTTCAATTAATTAAAGCAGAATAGAGAATAAAGAAGTGAGAATTCAAATTTCTTAAAAGAATAATAATGTACTAGGTAGCTAGAATAAAGGATTGTTAATGACATCAAGTAGTTAGGAAATGTTCACTGTCACCAAAAGGATACTATTAATCCCAAATGACTCATTTTTCTTTTGTGCAGCAAAACTCATCAGAATTATCTGCCAAACCCAAATTTGCAAAGTCTTCCAACCCAGTGCAACACAAAGGTGAGTCACAATAAACAAAAGGATATGAAAGGTAGGAAGAGACTGTGAATACATCAAATAAAGAAAACTCAATGGCAACTTTAATATATATATTAAATATTGATTTTCAATATATATATATTTAATAGATATTATTTATTATTATTAATTATATTATTTAATATTATTATATATTATTTAATATATATTAAATATTGATTTCAGAAAGGAAGGAAGAGAGAGATAGAAACATAAATAATGAGAATCATTGATCGGCTGCCTCCTCCTCATCCACCACTGGGGATCCAGCCCACAACCCAGACATACTCTCTGATCGGGAATTGAACTATGACCCCCTGGTTCATGAGTTGACGCTCAACTACTGAGCCATGCTAACCGGGCTCGATGCAACATTTTAAAAACTCATGTGAGAAGTGTGAGGGTATCAGCCAGTTCTGTGTTCAGAGTTTGTCTGAATGATGCTCAGGGTTGACACAGTAATATTGGGGATTTGACACTCTATTTAGACACTCGTGGAGATCAATGACTATCACGTTTAATTTCATCACAGAAATACCAGTATCTTCTCAATTAGACAGTATATAAATCTGTGACATTGATCACTGAGTACATGAAGTGTGGTTAAACTAACATCAATTGTGTCCTTGCCAGAGAGTCTCTCCTTCTGTGCCAGCTGCTGAGCAGTGGGCATGGACCAGGTTCTATGCCCTAGTGTTGGACATATCCTCCGCCCTAGAGTGTTCCTGGAAAAGGAGGAACCACCATCTGCTTTGGGAGAGAGAGTACTGTCCCCCGCCTATGACATGTCTTGTTTCTATGCTCAGATATTGGCTGTTGAAACTATTGGCTGTTGTGAATGACACTGAACTCCCAGAAGATTGGTATTTAAGCATTGCAAATAGTTATAGTATTGCTGGAGGAGAAGGGAGCATGCAGCATCGAGGCTGAGGAAGAGACATCACGTTACAAGTTAAGCTGAAGTCATACTTAAGAGTCCCATTTTATATTAAAATTACATTAGTACCTTATTAAGATAAAGAATCAAAATTATTTGATTTCAGTCTCTTGACACATGAAGTTCAAGTGTCTGAATTTGAAAAGATACTTCTCTTCCAAAATGTTTAATGTGACTTAGGTTCCAATATTACTGCCACCAACCAGCCTGAGGCCTTTTGACAAACTTCTTTACTTTTTGGATTTTGTTCCTCATCAGTAAAATAAAAAACAAAATAAAACAAACAAACAAAACAAAAAACAAAAAACAAAAAAACACGAAGATATCGCTAAGGCTCCCCCTAGCAATAACATTCTGTGGTTTCAAATCTGCTTTTTCTCATTTCCCAACATTATCTGAAAAGCATGGTTTTTCTCTTATCAATGAGAGATGTCTGACAAACCCCAGTTTCTGTGGCTTTAATGAAATGCTGTTCCTGTTGGCCAGCTATATTCTAGATCTTTCCCTATCGTCTTCCTAAAACTGTCCAGAATTGTAAGGAATTGCATCGGCTTCTTTTCATTTTGGTCTCATGCTTGATTCCAACTTTGTAGCCAGAGTTCTAACCATCTTTTTCCTCTCTTAGGCACTTATGCATTTTCTCATTCTGGAGAGTCCTCAATTGATATCATGCTAACTCAGTTTTTATCAACTGAATAAGGCTGGAAACCATAAAATCAAGAAAAAAAGTTTTGGAGCAACTTTACATTTCCAGCTAAATGTCAGTGAAGAAATTAGTTCAATAGTAGATGGGATTTTCTGATGGAAAAATCTGGACTAAAAGGAGAAGGTTCCAATAGTTTCGTCACTGCCCTCTTTATCTTCAAGGAAATGGAAAAATTGATTCTTATGTGGTTTGAATCAATTGATTGCTCCATAAACATAGAAGAGTAGGTTTTGCCAGAAATTGTGTCAGTTGTAACCAGTCTTTCACTGCCACAAGCTGCCTGTCCTTTTTCATAAAATAGCACCTTTCACATGGCACTTCCAATCCTCTGAGTAAGAGTAGGAAAATGTCATGAAATTGCCTTAGATACATTGATGGGCCATGTTCACATTCTTATAAAAAAGTCAATGGTATAAATTTCCTAAGAAAAAAAGTCATTTCCCTCCCACATTTTCCAGTTGGATCTTATGCTTATTTTTGCTTTTTTAGGTTCAGTTACTTAACTTTGAAAGTTAATCAGAAATAAAATGAAAACTTCCATTTCATTCTTAATGCAGTATTTTCCAGTTTGCAAGGCACTTTCATCTGATTTCCAATCCAGTGATGTGAGGTGTGCAGGCAGACCTAGTACAGAGATGAGGACATGAAAGCTTGTAGAGGTGACATGACTGGCCAATGACTATAAAGCCAATGAAAAGTCTTTGGGGACTTTTACGACTTTTGCTTCCTAGTCCTTTTGTACAGACCCATAATAGCTTTGAAAATTACCTGTGATCCTAAGAAAGCTTTATGAGGTTATACATGTGGTTCATTACTCCCAGAATTTTCTCTATGTCAGAAGCAAAATGTGGGAGAGTTTGGTTGTCAGCTTCCAGGGAGATACTTTAAAACATCCTGGATTTCTTTCATAGTAGATTGGAGGTACTTTCTGGAAGTTATTTACACATCTAGCCAGTGCCACTTGTATGTGAAATACAGAACTGCAGGCAAATAGACACTTGTGAAGTGACATTTTCTTCCATATTTCCATCCCTATTGGCTCACCTGAGTCCCAACCCCAGAAGAACCAAGGTCTTTGATTTCTCCTTGTTTCCAGAGTTTCCTAGAGATTTGCACTGTGGTTTTGAAGGCAAGAGTTGATTTTTTAAAATAATAATTTTGATGATGATGATGATGGTGGTCAAGAGTTGATTTTTTAAAATAATAATTTTGATGATGATGATGGTGGTGGTGGTGGTGTGATGGTGATGACAATGATGGTAAGAAGTCAAAGAAGAACCAACATTTATGGAGTACTCACTATGTGCCAGGCACTATTCTAAGTGCTCTGCATAGATTAACTCACTGTGTTAAAAGCAGGCTGGAGTAAGAGACTCCTCTTGCAGGTTTAATGACATAAGTGACCATGTTGGAGAATCTCATGTGACAAGGAAATGTAGGTGACCATGAGGGTAGGCTCTCACGAAAGGTCATCAAAAATCCAAAGTTCTTAATCTCACAACTGTAATGAAATGAATTCTATCAACAAACCCGAATGAGCTGTAAGTGGGTTCTTCCCCAGTTGAGCTTCCAGAACAGAGATGGTGCTTAAAGCCATGGGACTAGGTATCACACAGCAGATGCAGGGAGAGAAGTAAGAGGCTCCAAGCACTGAGCCAGGCACCCCATCATCATGAAGGAGAGGAGAAGGACCCAGTACAGGAGAAGGAGCAGCCTGTGAAGTAGATAGGAAGCCAGGGGAACCTGCTGTCCCAGAAGCTAAGAAGAGCATTTTGAGGATTTCAGGATGCAATGGGGTTAAATTCTCCTGTGAGTCAGGGAAGATAAAGCACCTGATTTGCCTATCTCAATTTGAAACGTGAAGGTCTTAGAGTAAGAAATCTCACTGTTGGGATGTTTCACAATAGAATGGAATCATGTTTAAACTTTGCCTGGCCTTTTATCAGATAAGCTCTTCCAGATCTGTAATTTGCTAGTTTAGAAAGATTAATTTCAAGTTTTTTCTCATGCTTCCAGAACAAATAAAGGGACCAACCAATAGTCACTTGAAGGCACTTAGGGTTTTTCAGACTGATGCAGATTTCTCTGAAAGCCTCAGACCTATTTCCTTTTGAACAATTATTTTTTTAAAAATATAGCTTATTGATTTTTTAAATTTATTTTTATTTATTTTTATTATTTATTTATTTATTTATTTATTTATTTATTTATTTTTACAGAGAGGAAGGGAAAGGGATAGAGAGTTAGAAACATGGACCAGCTGACTCCTGCACACCTCCCACTGGGGATGTGCCCGCAACCAAGGTACATGCACTTGGCCAGAATCGAACCTGAGACCTTTCAATCTGCAGGCTGATGCTCTATCCACTGAGCCAAACCAATTAGGGCCAATTCTTAATTGGAAAGACTATTTGCCTTTTTGTTAAGATGGCAGAAGGGCTGTGCTGTACTTACCTTTATCAAACTTCAGGGGGCGAACTCGGACTGAGAAATAAATCCTGGACAAATTGCTGGGAGAGTAGACACACCTGCCATCCACTCTGGAACTTCGGGGTTTGAAACACATTTTAATCCAACTTCTCTAATTAGGAACAATTTACAGTGTTCCTGCTGTGATTTGTATAGTAAGATAAATTAGGGAGTTAGAGAATAATAGCTCTGTTTCAGAACAGCAAACAATACCTCTGTTCCCTGGGTTTATGCCCAAGGGCACTGGTAAACATTGAAGGCTGTTTCTAAGCAAAGCAGGAATTAGCCATGGCTGGTGTGGAATTTTCACCTGCTAGGAAACCAGTTAATTCAAGTACATGGTGCAAAACAGATTGGGAGCACTCTGGGAATTTTTTCTTCTTTTTATTTATTTATTTATTTATTTATTTATTTATTATTTAATTTTTAATTTTTTATTCATCTCTTCCCTTGGGAGAAAATAGTTTGGCAAATTGTTTAGTTTTGTCAGACATGCGTCACACTTCAATGACTGAGTCACCCAAACTCTAGAGATTCCATTTGGTCCCCAGGGTCTCTAGGGTGAAGAGAGCAAAACAGAACACACCAACATAGACCAATGATTTAGTAGGTCCTCCAAGGTGGTCAGGAAGGACCAGAGCTGATTGCAATTTACTGCTCAGCCCTCGTCTTCCTATGAAGAGTTCCGTAGTTCACTGTTTCCACGAATTCTCCTGGAACTGATCTGCATTTGGCCTGGCTTGCTCCTCACCCAGTGTGCCCGAATGGCTTCCTGTGGGGCCAGTGAGGTGGGTTCTCTCCAGGGTGGAGTCCTTGGGAGGCCCGGCCTCCACTTTGCCTCAGTCATTCCTTAGGTGCTTTGCAGTTTCCCATCAGTAAAACCGCAGATCTATATTCGTTAGATAAGCTCTGAGATCCTTCCAGGCCTGACTTTCTCTGATTCTGTGTCTCTTCATAGGTAACACCCTGGGAGAAGAGAAATTTATCACCAAAGAGTACCAGCCCAAGTAGGTTTGGCAAGACCTTATCTCGCTGGGTAGGAATCACAGATAAAGCACTGCCAACAGCAACATTTATGCCAACCAGATGGGAGGCAACACCCCTTTGGAATTCTGACCTGATGCTTAAAACCAGAGCCGAGGAGCACCCCAGTGTGATGTGTTGCCAAGGGACACACTGCTTCTGTGGATAAGATTTCCTGGTTGTTAGATCTCAGCCATGTCCCCCAACAGGGCACGGGCAAGGCAGCTGTGGATTCCATGACAACACGAGCTGGGCACTGCCAAGGACAATGCTCTGTGGCCTGCAAGCTTCTCCTGGCGCTGGCGATATGTGATTTTGTTTCCCTGAAGTCAGCTGGGCGGGGAAGCCAGCCCCACCTGTCCTCTATTTCACCTGATTGTGGAAAATATTACACAGCCCCCTCCTTTCTGTGAATTAAACAACAAATAAATAAATTGCATTTATGGAATCACTCCTAGACTTTATGTTGACAATATTTTATACAGTAAAGTTTACACCACATGAAATGCTCATGTCCCGCTTTCTCTTAAATTAAAGTAAGGACTCTCTAATTTACCTCCCTACCCCCCACCCTCAGCAGAATCAGGCTGACCTGGAACTTGTTAGAAATGCCAATTCTTGGATCCACCCCAGACCTAAATCAGAAACGCAGGAATGAGGTTCAGGATCACCTGTTTTTTTTGTTTGTTTTGTTTTTGTTGTTGTTGTTTGTTTTTTTAATCTCACCTGAGAGTATGTTTTTATTGATTTTAGACCTAGGAAGGGATTTAGAGAGAAAAACATCAATGTGAGAAAGAAACAAAACCCATATGTCATGACTGGGGATGGAACCCTTAACCTAGGTGTGTGCCCTGACTGGGAATTGAACAAACCCTCCAGACGACCCTAACACAGCAATTTTCAACGTGGTGTACCACAAGAATTTTTGAAATATGTGATACCTGACTATTTAGTCAAGGGGATGGACCTCTTTTTCCTTGGATTGTCAAATTAAAAAAAAAAAAAGACAACAGCCAACACAACAATAGCCATCTGGTGTGAATTGAATCAAAATTATACCTTTTCTTTGGTGATGTTGGCAAAAAAAAGCATCTTACCTATTAATAAACACGTAAATTGACTGTACCTCTGCTATACCACCAGCCAATCAGGAGTGATATTCAAACTAACCCAACAAAGATGGCAATTAGTTTGCATACACAGGTGAAGAGTGAGGGGGGGAGAGGGGAGAGAGTTCTGTCCTCCCCACCTCCCCCCAGGCTCTCAGGGCCTCTGGGCAGTGTGAGAAGGTGGGGCTGGAGTGGAAAGGCGGTGGAATCTTTGTGCATCAAGCTTCTAGTAATTATATATATATATATATATATATATATATATATATATATATATATATTTCAGAGAGGAAGGGAGAGGAAGAGGGAGAGAGAGAAACATCAATAATGAGAGAGAATCATCGACTGGCTGCCTCCTGCACACACCCCACTGGGGATGGAGCCCACAATCT